TGGAATATTAGATATCATTAAAATAACGTTTACTCTACGTTTGTCGCGTGTAAGGTCAGATAAATAAGTCGTGGAATATTAGATATCATTAAAATAACGTTTACTCTACGTTTGTCGCGTGTAAGGTCAGGTAAATAAGTCGTGGAATATTAGATATCATTAAAATAACGTTTACTCTACGTTTGTCGCGTGTAAGGTCAGATAAATAAGTCGTGGAATATTGGATATCATTAAAATAACGTTTACTCTTCGTTTGTCGCGTGTAAGGTCAGATAAATAAGTCGCACGTTAAAGAAAATCCTATTTTATTTGTTTGTTTAATTACTGAAGGACTATATGTGCTAGACTAGAGGGAAGGCAGCTAGTCAACACCACCCACCGCCAACGTTCAGGCTACTCCTTATTAACAGAACCAGCCACGAAGAAGAACGGTTTTCATAGCTGGCAAATTTATTCACCAAATTCTATCCGATATTGTTTCAGAGGCCTCTATTTTCATACGTAAGCTAAAGGTTTGTTTGTTGAATTACTCGGGGGCTATCTGTGATAGTCCACTCTAATTTTGAAGGGGTAGATTACAAGGAAGACAGCTAATCAACACCACCCACCGCCAATTTTTGGGATACGCTTTAACCAACGAAAAGTGGGATTCGCGGACACATTATATAGCACCCTCGCGGCTGAAAGGGCGAGCATGTTCGGTGACGGAATTCGAGCACGCGACCCGCGAGTCGAGTGCTCTAGCCACTAGGCCATGTCAGTCCGAAAAATCCTGTATTTTCTAAATGAAACTGTGGATTAACAAATTTCACTCGCCTCTTTATTTACGAAATGACATAAACAAGAACTATTATGTTTGCTTTAATTCCAAAAGCCACTATTCCATCTGCAATAGAATTTCATCAATATATATATATAAATATTCTAGCGAAACACTGAATAAAACATCTTACTGCTGTAAAACGAAGCCATCCAGTTTAGGGATTAAATAAAAATAACTCTTATTCTTACTTGGTTTCATTAAGGCCTTGTCTTAATTACGTTCAGTAATTATAATAGCTAAGTTATTCAAATACTTCAAAGATCGCGAAAGAGCGCTCTTACCCATACACCCTCGTGGCTCATCGCTACCATCCCCACAGTCTTCTCTGCCGTTACAAAACATGTTTTGTCGAACACATTTACCGTTATCACAGGAAAATTCTGAGAGTCCGCATAATGCAGATGACAGGGGTTCCCTCATTTCTGTGATGATCAAAGCAAACACGAGAAGAGTGCACGTGCATGACGTCGTCATTTTGACATTATTCCCCGGGAGATCTCGTGTAACTGGGCGACTCTTCGTCAGTCATCAGAGACACCTATGATTTAGTGTGGAAACAAACGAATGAGTCAGAACTGTTAAATTATATTTATAGAATATATCTCGACTTAAATCTTCCTGTCACAGTTAGCGATAACGACTTATTCCCTACAAATTAATGTACTGTTTACCTTTGACTGGCGTAGAGAAATTTTAGGGTTAAGCTTGCTGTAAAGATACAGGAAAAGCCACATAAGTTGAGAACCAAAAATGTCTCCTGTAGGATCTTCTAAGACATTATTCACATAACAACAGAGCTATAATGGAATCATTTAAAGTTCATGACAAAAACTGTAAATCAATGACCAAAAATGATCACTTCAAATATGGCCATTAAAACTCCAACAAGATCAAATCAAGGTTTCTCAAGCTAATTTACTAAAAACTTTTTCACACCTTAATCCTTACCTATCGGTTTTTAAATCCATTCTACCAAATTATTTGTGCGTTCATGCATTTGATGGTTACGGTTTCCCTAATGACGCATAGATCGTACTCAAGAATACCATTAACATTTCAGTTATCTACTCTTTGAGTCTCTTGTAGAAAGTGGGTGACTTCACTCAATGTGGGTCAGAATTACCCAATGTATGGACCCCACCGGAAGGGAACGGTATAAAAACAAGTCGGTAACTTGAGGGTTAAACCCTGACGATCAACAATACGTGGATTGTAAGTAATATCGGAGATGATAAATCTTCACCTGATCAGAGACATTAAGATGATAAATCTTCACCTGATCAGAAACATTAAGATGATAAATATCTACTTGATCAGAAACATTAAGATGATAAATCTTCACCTGGTCAGAAACATTAAGATGATAAATCTTCACCTGGTCAGAAACATTAAGATGATAAATCTTCACCTGGTCACAGACATTAAGATGATAAATCTTCACCTGGTCAGAAACATTAAGATGATAAATCTTCACCTGGTCAGAAACATTAAGATGATAAATCTTCACCTGATCAGAAACATTAAGATGATAAATCTTCACCTGGTCAGAGACATTAAGATATTAAATCTTCATCTGATCAGAAACATTAAGATGATAAATCTTCACCTGGTCAGAAACATTAAGATGATAAATCTTCACCTGATCAGAAACATTAAGATGATAAATCTTCACCTGATCAGAAACATTAAGATGATAAATCTTCACCTGGTCAGAGACATTAAGATGATAAATCTTAACCTGATCAGAAACATTAAGATGATAAATCTTCACCTGATCAGAAACATTAAGATGATAAATCTTCACCTGGTCAGAGACATTAAGATGATAAATCTTCACCTGGTCAGAGACATTAAGATGATAAATCTTCACCTGGTCAGAGACATTAAGAATCATTCGCTGTCTATGTTGGCAGCAAATATATATATATACACCTTGCTGTCAGTTAGGGTTAGTTCAAGATAAACTAAGACGGCATTACTGTCAAACATTATAATCTTTAGAGCATGCTGCCATCACTATCGTAAGGTCAAGATTTATAAAGCTGTCATCACTATCGTAAGGTCAAGATTTATAAAGCTGCCATCACTATCGTAAGGTCAAGATTTATAAAGCTGTCATCGCTGTCGTAAGGTCAAGATTAATGAAGCTGCCATCACTATCGTAAGGTCAAGATTTATAAAGCTGCCATCACTATCGTAAGGTCAAAATTTATAAAGCTGTCATCACTATCGTAAGGTCAAGATTAATAAAGCTGCCATCGCTTTCGTAAGGTCAAGATTTATAAAGCTGCCATCACTTTCGTAAGGTCAAGATTTATAAAGCTGCCATCACTATCGTAAGGTCAAAATTTATAAAGCTGTCATCGCTGTCGTAAGGTCAAGATTTATAAAGCTGCCATCACTATCGTAAAGTCGCGATTTATAAAGATGTCATGAATATCTTAAGGCTACCTACATTATCCTAAAGTCACATTCATAAACACTCACATTATGACAATGTATGTTTACCAGAGTCTACACTATAATGTAGGTTTACCAGAATCTACACTACAATGTAAGTTTACCAGAGTCTACACTACAATGTAGGTTTACCAGAGTCTACACTACAATGTAGGTTTACCAGAGTCTACACTACAATGTAAGTTTACCAGAGTCTACACTACAATGTAGGTTTACCAGAGTCTACACTACAATGTAGGTTTAACAGAGTCTACACTACAATGTAGGTTTACCAGAGTCTACACAACAATGTAGGTTTACCAGAGTCTACACTACAATGTAGGTTTAACAGAGTCTACACTACAATGTAGGTTTACCAGAGTCTACACAACAATGTAGGTTTACCAGAGTCTACACTACAATATAGGTTTACCAGAGTCTACACTACAATGTAGCTTTACCACCTACATTGTAGTGTAGACTCACATTGTAGTGTAGACTCTGGTAAAATAAGCAGTTATGAAGAAAGAGAGATAGTAAGAGTTGTATTAATATTAGAAGAACAATAAACCAAACAATGTAAGAGTCAACACAGAACAAAACATCAAAATCTGATGCCATCTTTCAACAGGTTTTCAGTTATTTTCTGACACAAATAGCGGATCACTAAATAAATAGGAATATATATATTTATATAAAGATACGTGCCCAGGTTAAGGCACTCGACTCGCAATCTGAGGGTCGCGGGTTCGAATCCCGTCACCGAACATACTCGCCCTTTCAGCCATGGGGGGCGTGATAATGTGACGGTCAATCCCACTATTCGTTGGTAAAAGAGTGGCCCAAGAGTTGGCGGTGGGTGGTGATGCCTTCCTTCTAGTCTTACACTGTTAAATTAGGGACGGCTAGCGCAGATAGCCCTCGTGTAGCTCTGCGCGAAATTCAAAAAAAACAAAACAAATAAAGATACCTGGTTTCAAAGGACTGTGATGTCAGATTTACAAATCGCCACCTATCGGTAATTTAGGAATCCTTACAGTTCTCAACGTTTCAGTAGTACGTATCAAAATTATACATTCTAATCTACCAGTTCAGTAGGAAGTCTTAAAGGTCATGACCTTACAAACAACATGAGAAGCGTTAGAATAAAAACTAATTGTATTAGAGTATGACTTATAGGTTTGAACCCAATGAAAAAAAAGCATTATACAATTATAGGAAAATAACTTACTTATTACGTCACTATCACGAGTATTAGATAGATCGCTAGATAGGTAGGTAGTAGATAAACAGATAGATAGACAGAAATAAAAATAAAACATACTTGTGACCAATTACTTCTATAATGTAGTAGTTTTCAGACTTGTGACCTAATTACTTCTATAATGTAGTAGTTTACGGACTTGTAGCCAATTACTTATAATGTAGTAGTTTTATTCTGTAAGAGACGGACTTTTTTGGAAGGTTGTCTTTCAGTAACTTGTTCGACATGTTATAGGTTTCATTGTTATTTTATCATTTAGTTATTCATTATATATTATTATTATCTGCTGATTAAGTCAACCCACCTACTAGTTAATGTAGCTCATCTAATATAACAGTTTAACTAGGAATATATTGTAGCATAAATTTAAAGCTCAGAATGATTAGTATACAAAGTTATCGATGTTTTCGGCCGTAAACCCAGTATTATCTCAAGACATTTGACTTGCTTATAAAATTTGCGTTAGTCCTAAATCCGTACTAATATAACAAGGCAAACTTATCCTCATAATAAATAAATAAATGTGCTTAACTAAGAAATAAAACTAATAAAACTAAATAAGTTATATATATATAACTGAAAACTACTACATTATAGAAGTAATTGGTCACAAGTCTGAAAACTACTACATTATAGAAGTAATTGGTCACAAGTCCGAAAACTACTACATTATAGAAGTAATTGGTCACAAGTCTGAAAACTACTACATTATAGAATAATTGGTCACAAGTCCGTAAACTACTATATTATAGAAGTAATTAGTCACAAGTCCGTAAACTACTACATTATAGAAGTAGAGTGGTCACAAGTCCGTAAACTACTACATTATAGAAGTAGAGTGGTCACAAGTCCGTAAACTACAACATTATAGAAGTAGAGTGGTTACAAGTCCGAAAACTACTACATTATAGAAGTAATTGGTCACAAGTCCGTAAACTACAACATTAGAAGTAGAGTGGTCACAAGTCCGTAAACTACTACATTATAGAAGTAATTGGTCACAAGTCCGTAAACTACTACATTAGAAGTAATTGGTCATAAGTCCGTAAACGACAACATTAGAAGTAATTGGTCACAAGTCCGTAAACTACTACATTATAGAAGTAATTCGTCACAAGTCCGTAAACTACTACATTAGAAGTAATTGGTCATAAGTCCGTAAACTACAACATTAGAAGTAATTGGTCACAAGTCCGTAAACTACAACATTATAGAAGTAGAGTGGTCACAAGTCCGAAAACTACTATATTATAGAAGTAGAGTGGTCACAAGTCCGTAAACTACTACATTATAGAAGTAATTAGTCACAAGTCCGTAAACTACTATATTATAGAAGTAGAGTGGTCACAAGTCCGTAAACTACTACAGTATAGAAGTAATTGTTCACAAGTCCGAAAACTACTACATTATAGAAATAGAGTGGTCACAAGTCCGAAAACTACTACATTATAGAAGTAGAGTGGTCACAAGTCCGTAAACTACTATATTATAGAAGTAATTAGTCACAAGTCCGAAAACTACTACATTATAGAAGTAGAGTGGTCACAAGTCCGTAAACTACTACATTATAGAAGTAATTAGTCACAAGTCCGAAAACTACTACATTATAGAAGTAGAGTGGTCACAAGTCCGTAAACTACTACATTATAGAAGTAATTGGTCACAAGTCCGTAATCTACTATATTATAGAAGTAGAGTGGTCACAAGTCCGTAAACTACTACATTATAGAAATAATTGGTCACAAGTCCGTAAACTACTACATTATAGAAGTAATTGGTCACAAGTCCGTAAACTACTACATTATAGAAGTAATTGGTCACAAGTCCGTAAACTAC